TATATATGGAGGTCAGAGATCACTTTTGTAGAGTCAGTTCTCTCCTTCCACCTTTACATGTGACTGGGGGATCAAACTCAGATCCTCAAGTTGGAGCAACATGTATCTTTACCTGCTGCACCACCTCATTGGCCCTGCGTATGACTTGTTGGTGTTGTGCTTTGTCTTTCTGTTACACATAGAGCAAATCCCAAGGCTGGGTCTGACAGTAATAATTCCTTTGGCTTTGGGGTATTTCCACTAACACTGGTTACTACACAAATTTTTTGACAAAGAGGTACTGAGTTACTAAGGCATAGAACAAAACCCCAGTATTGAAAAAGAAAATTAACATTAAAGTTTTTTTTTAACTATGTGTATATGTGGGGGAGGGTATGTCCACTTGTGAGTGCAGTGTCTGCAGAGTTGACAGGAGGATGTTTGATCCCCTGGAGTTGGAGTTACGGGTGGTTGTGAGTTGCCCAACAGTAAGTGCTATTAACTCCTGAATCATCTCTCCAGCCCCAGAAAACTAGCATTTTTATCTGCCATATCAGGAGTTACCTGAGGTGCCTTAATGGTTGCCAGAAGCTGCTGGATGGGGGATTTGCCTTGAGCAGCTTCAGTCTGTAAGGGCAGCCATCATTGGTGCTGAAGGTACATCCTCCTCTTGGAAGATGAGACATCCTCCTTTACAGTGGCTTCCCCTTAGCAGAGGGGGCAATGCCCTGGCTTCTTAGAATCTCGCCTAGGGCAGCTCTTTCCTAGTGCCCAGGTTTTCAACTGCTCTGACAAGTGTTGCCCCTTTAGAAACCTCTTCTTCCTGGTGTTTCTCTGAGGGGACAGGTTCATAACCTGCCCGGGAAAATTATAATTATAAAATATTATTCCCCAGCCCAGTGTGGTGGCACACACCTTTAGTCCCAGAACTTGGGAGGCAGAGGCAGGCAGATCTCTGTGAGTTCAGCCTGGTCTACATAGTGAGTTCAAGGCCAGCTGGGGCTACAGGGAGCTCTGTCTCAAAAAGATGAGAAATATATATAATTCCCCAGGTTAAGGCTATCAGATGAGCTTGTTCTCATTGCTTCCCCCTGGCTTTTTGGATTGCATATATTTTATCTCTGTGGTTGAAAACTTCAAAAGTCAAATTTAAAAGTAGATTCAGGATGTCTGAGATCAACTGTCTGCTTTTGCAGCTTCCTCCTGGAGCCTAGTGCAGAACAACTGATAAAACCAGAACCCAGCAAAGTCTGACCTCAGGGAAAATTTAAGAGCCTTTCACTGTAGTAAACTTGATGATATATATGCAGTCTTTAAGTTTTATATTTTATAAATATTTCCCATAACTTAGATCTTCTGCAACGTGCTTAAGCTTTCTGGTTTTGTCCACACTTTTATTTCCATTGTGGAATAATCCTTTACTTTAGAACAAACTTATCATCTAAAATCCTTTTTAATCTAAAAGAATTTCCTTCTCTTTTTAAGCTTCTTTACATTGATGGCTCCTTTCTGATTTTTTTCTTTTTACAAAATTTAGAAAATAATTCTTCTTTATAACTATATTTTTAATAACTATCTTTTAATGAAAACCCAGGAAGCTAGATCTGCAACATTAGCAAAACTACTTCCGGAGACACTTTTAATTTTTCTTCCAACAAATTTAAGTTAGCGAGTTTGTTAGGGCTTTAAGTCCTATCGTTACAGCCACTTACTTACTTTTGTCAAAAAGCATCAGCTTTTCATTTGGACCCACAAGGCAACCAGTATCAGGATAAAGCCTGGCATCCTGGCTTCATTTTCTGTGTCTTTTTCCTTTGGACCTAGCAGGCAAGCGTATTAATCACTGGAGGAAAACTGAAACCACAAAGAGAAATCCTTGTCCAAAACCTTAATAACAGAGCAGCTCCACCTCCAGGTGAGAACAACCACATATGATGCTGAGGCTGTGCCCTGGAGCATGAGCAATCGTCCCCAGAGAACCAGCTGTCTTGCTGAGCAATATGGAATTATTTTAATCAGATTATAGGACCAGAACTGAGACAGATCAAGACCACACCTTGACTACGACTGACCAGTTACACATAACTCTCATCCCTTGTTTTAATTCCTTCTCTACTTTAATCTAAAGTTCATGTCAGTACCCAGAAGAAGGGCCTGGGGGACACTGGACCTCTCTACTAGTTCCCCTAACATGGCCAAATTGATCAAATCTCCTCTCTCCACCTTTCACCATTACTCATCTCTTTAATCATTGTACTGTGACATGTGTCCAAGCTTAGCCTGTGGGGGCTGCCCAGGGCCAGGACTTTTGTTCTAAAATTCCTGTTTTACTAAAAATTATAAAGACTTTGGGCTAATTCAGTTTCAATTTACATGAACATTCACATATAAGACTGTTTGGCACCATGTAGATAATATACAAATATAAGCACACATGTAGATAGTATACACACATAGCCATACATAAAAACAGACCAAGAAACTCCAAAGACTTGTAGCCTTCATTTATATTTATCATTTGTTATACTGTCATTAAGATAGACTGTAGACAAATTATTTCTTCCATAGCACTAAGCAATCTTTAGTTTAAAATTTGTAATAAAAACAAAGTAGAAAAATACATCTCAAATATATAGAGCTTAAATTAATTATTGATAGGGCTCAAGCAGACATCCAGTAAGATCTAAAGGGTCAAAATATGAAGCTCATTGTGCAGACCTAAGTTAGTACTTTTTTTCTATTTGAAGTGCTGAACAGCAGCAGGGAAGAGATCTTTAAAACAGAAATTTGGGGGGCTGAAGCGATGGCTCAGCAGTTAAGAGTATTTGCTGCTCTCCCAGAGGACCTGAGTTCGGTTCCCAGCACCCACATCTGGCAGCTCACAATCACCTGTATCTCTAGCTCCTGAGGATCCAACACCCTTCTATGGCCTCCATAGGCACCTGAACACACACAGCATACACTCACACAGACACACACATACACATAAATAAAAATAATAATAAACCTTTTTTTAAAAAAAATAGAATTTTTTTCCTGAAATGCCATTTTGAGGCCAAATTCCTCCACTTTTTAACTTACAGTGAGGCAAGCTTTGTGGTGTTTACTTGTATATCTAAAAAATGAAAAGAAGAAAACAGCCTAGGATAGCTCAATGAGTTCCCAACCTGAATTGGACATCACTGGCCTGGCCTGTCCAACACAGCCATTAACCCTGGATATCCCCGCAAGTTCAGTGGATAATTTCCTTCCAGGCTTCACCCGGAGACCTCTGAATACACTGTGGTGTCTCTTTACAGTAGTTTACATAGTTAGTTACACCTAACAGTTGGGGTTTTAACCTCTCATAAAATGAGAACCCATGGAGACTAAATTCACCTATTTCGGCCTTAGCAAGTTATGGAAGACCCTCCTCAAAACATCCTCTATGAGACTGGTGCTCAGCAGGAGAAAGTTTGAGGCTTTGAAAGGCAGCTGGCAGTTCAGCGCCGGTGAAGACACTGGCAGAGTTCCAGGTCCCCAAGGCTACTTCACAAAAACGAGACAAAATGGGGAAAGCTGGGAGCACCAATAGGAAGATTTCAGGATCAAGAGAGGGTCTGGAGCATGTTGCGTCTAGAAGCGGGCGTTTGTAACAGAGATTAGATCAAAACGTGCTGCTTAGTGAGGCTCACTCCCCCTGGCGTCACACCAGTCAGTTCACCCCAAAAGGGCCTTGGGCAGCTCTCCGGAGACAAGTCTCATGGAATCGTTATTATGGTGATGTCCTTCTGGACAGGCGTGACTGCTTTTTCTGACCCAGGAGTCGGGTATGGAAGATTCTAAAGGAATTCCTATCTTTGGTGCCAGTGGCACTCATTAAACACCATATGGGTCTCCGGCCAGAAAACAGAGAGAACGAAACTAAGTCAACACGCAAGCGGAAAGGGTCGAGCAAGGGCAGCTAAGGGGCAGTCGAGGAAACTCAGCAACACTGCTGCAGAGATGGTTCCTCTGTGGGCACCAGGAAAGACATCAGAGGCAGTGGGAGTGGGAGCCAGAGACACAGCTCCACGTTGCTGCCTATACCAGTCTGACGGGGTTTGTATGTTTGTTTATTTTCAGAGACCTCTACTCAGATGAAGCCAGGATTCTTGACTGCACTGCGTAAAGAATTTCAGGGAGAGTCAATATGAAACAGAGTTGGAGTTTATTAAGAGATTCTTTTTAACATAGATGTAAGTGTGGGTGTTAATAGAAAGAGAAGCATTTAGGAAAAGGATGGGATACACTCAAGTGTGGGCATAGCGCTCCCAAGAGTCCCGCTTAAGTGACTTTACAACAGCCACATATACAGCCACAGTTTTGGTGGCTTCTGAAGTTACACCTCAAAGCGTTCCTAAGGAACTTTATTTTCTCTTTTTCAATAAACCTCAGAGGGAGGTTCTTGAGGTGCATTGGATAGGATTACAGCTGATAAGATAAAACCACAGGCCGCAAGGATTGTACACAGAAGTTAGAATACATTTTAACTATAAATGAAATGTATAGTAAGATTTTCAGAAAACTCCAGGTTCACTTCTAGGAAAGAAAATTAATCCACACTCAAAAATCAAATACTATTAGGCTTTAAGCATGGTTCATTGTTATTTTAATGTTCTTCATTTAAATATCTCTACGCAAAAGGAATATTGTGTCTATATAGGCAACCTTCACAGGAAATTTTATTCATTGTGCTTGAATTCTTGAATCTCAGCTGGTAAGAGACTTCAAGACTTCTGAGTAAGGGGCTCCTCTCCTTCCTCCATGTCCTCTTAAATTAGTCCTTCATTCCTACCTCCACCTTTGCAGTCATTTCCTGTTACATTCTTGGTCCTCTCCTTCCCCTTGCATTCTCTGCCTTGTTTCCTCTTTTACAACGTGCATGTTGAGTATTATGTACCCAGGAACTTCCTGATCCTCCTATCTTATAAATACCAGGGCAGGCCAGGAAGTCAGGGAGTAGTGAGAAGTCTTCAAGCCAGCTCTGCCTGCCCACCAGGAGGATGAGGGTCTCCATGGCTATTTCCTTGCTTACCCTTGTGGCTGCTGTTGGATCCCAGGCCAGGATCATACATGGTGAGTCCAATGAGCCTTCTCAGCGGTGAGCAAGTCAACAGTAACTGGAGGTCTGGGAAGGAAACCCACAAGGGCAGCACTGCCCTCCTGGAAACACTCTCCATCCTGACATGGTGGTAGAATTTATCTAGAAACAGCAACTGTGTATAGACCTGCCTCTGTCTGTAGCCTTTAGACCCTAGGGGAATCTATATACTGATAACTGGTACCATTCAGGAAAACAATTGTTTCCCCTTTTATAGTCAGAATTATTTGATATGTGTCTTTAACTGACGTAGGACTAAGTATTAGGTCAGAAGATCTGTAGTAAAATTATGCTTGAGGAAAGAAGCATAGAATCTTATGTTAGAAGTGTTAACATACCACTTACAAAAAATCCATCATTTTGGAGAAGTAGAACCAGCCAGGCAGGTGGCTCAGCCCAAGAAAATCCTAACCGTTCTATTTTATATTTAGCAAATACATATCTAACACTTCCCATGTGCCAGACAGCAACTATTCTGTCTTACATATGTTAACAAGTCAACTTCTCTTACAACCCTGTGAGGTAGATATTATATTAAACAATGTGAAATTGCCATTTTTATAGGGGGAAATAGAACATCAGCAATTATATATACTTTATTATTCTTGTTAGTATTGTCATTTTATAAATAAAAAAATGAGTCATATAGAAATTTTAGCCTTAAGATGAAGGCCTGCCTAAGATTACACAGTAGTAAGTAGTAGGATTCAGGCAGGAGCCAACCTGGGAGAAGTAATGGACAGACAGAGTCATTTAGAGTCTCTTCTTTTTTGCAAGCTCCACCCAAAACACAGCAAGCATTATACTATTTAAGGAATAATGACAAGACAAAAAAAGTCTCTAGTAATGCCATTATATTTTAGGAAATTTTTCATTGGTTGACTCCACAGATGTGGAGCTTCCAGGTATGGAAGACCAACTTTAAAAGAAATGAGCTAAGAACATTGGAAAATAATTGTTGGATAAGTTGATAATTTAATCCTTATTGCCTAAATCATTAATTTATGTTTTGATACAAAAAGTAAATACCAAGTTTATTTATTAGGTTTGTTCTATTTTTTGCTTTATGTATGTGTGTCTGTGTGTGCAGATGCCCAAGGAGGCCAGAAAAGAGTATTAGAGCTGGAGCTAAGATTACAGGCAGTTGTGAGTCCTGGCATGGGTGCTGAGAACCGAACTCCAGTCCTCCTAAAGAGCAGCAAGCGCTCTTGACCACGGAGCCGTCTCTGTAGCCCCTAAATAGCAATTTTTAATGCTAGCCTTATTCTGTGATAACCTAAATTTAAGTTGAAGGAAGGAAGGAAGGAAGGAAAGAAGGAAGGAAGGAAGGAAACTAAAGTTGAACTGTATTTGCCTAATTATCACAATACAGGCTTACAATGTTTTATGTAAAATCTCTGGAGCTACTTGAATTTTGGAATGCAGAATTTTTAAGAGTTTTCAAAAGTTAATATAAAGGAGGTTAAAGACACGGCTCAGTGGTTAAGAGCATGTGCTGCTCTTGCAGAGGACCCAAGCTCAGTTCCCAGCACCCACATGGCAGCTAATAATCATCCATAACTCCAGTTCCAAGGGAGTCTGATGCCCCCTTCTGACTGGCATTGCATGGTATGGGTGCACTTACATACATGCAGGCAATATATTCATACACTAAAAATAAGAAATAAAATATTTTTAAAAGTTAATATAATGCACAGCTGGACATGGTGGCGCATGCCTTTAATCCCAGCACTTAGGAGGCAGGAGCAGGCAAATCTCTGTGAGTTCAAGGCCAGCCTGGTCTGCATAGTGAGTCCCAGGTCAGTTGGGGCTTCAGGAAGGCCCTATCTCAAAACAAAACCAAAAAAAAAATATTTAAATAGGGCCAGCGAGATGGCAGAGTGTGTAAAGACACTTGCCATGCAAACCCGATAACCTGATTTGGATCCCAGAATCTAGGTAAAGGGCAGAAGAGAACTGA